ATGCAAGAATGCAAGATGGATCAAACTATTAAAGAAAATAAAAAATAATAAAAAACCATGAGAAATGATACAGAGCTTCACTAAACAAGATGGTAGGAATTCACCAGCGGTTGTTATATTGCATATTGTTGTCTTCAAATCAGTTGCTCAGATTACCAGATATAAGCATGCAAAATTGGTCAAAAAAGTTTAAGCGTTAACTGTTCCTTTCAATAAACAAATAGACATCAACAGTACAACTATCCCATCTATCTATCTATCTATTCCCTCCTTCCTTCCTTCTTTTTCTCCTTTCCATCATCCCAATCTTAAAAGAATGGCCAAAATGTTACTCAGAGTACAATGATACACAGAAAAAACTCTCTTACCAAGAAGAAACAAAAAAATAATAGGACGAAACTTTCTTTTTAGTGAACTAAGAGAAACTAATAGTATAAGTGAAACAAATTAACATATATGATAATATATTTTGGAAACAATGGAATAGGTAATTTGGGGAATTATTTGAACTTCTTCTTACTTCCTATTTTTCTATTCACTCATTCATATTCTCTTTCTCTCTCTTTCTGTCTCTCATTTTCTGATACAAGAGAAGCCATGCATTATTTAAGCTTGTGTGTCTCTGACTTACTTCACGTACCATTATATTCTCAAGTTGCATCCAGTTGCCTGTGAATGCCTCAAATTTATCCTTTGTGGCAGAGCAGTACCTCACTGTGTATAAATACCATTTTTCTTTATCCGTTCATCTGTCGATGGACATATATGCTGTTTCCATGATCTAGCTGTTATGAATTGTGCTACTGTAACCATGGGTATGCATGCATCCCTGTATGTGATGTGTGTAACTCTTTTGGGAAGTTGCCTAGAAGAGGGTAGCTGGATCATGGGTCTCACATTGCCTACCTTGGGCCCAAACTTGCAATCTTCCCGCTTTCGTCTTCAGAATGCTGCAGTTACAAGCGTGCGCCACCATGTCCAGCCTCCTATGCCTATTCTTATTGAAGTATCTTTCCAGGATATGCAGAGGTTCCTGCCCAGAAGCAAACCCTACCCCTAGTGCTTCACGAATGTCTTCCACATCTTGTGCTATACAACGGGGTGACTGCTATGTAGTTCGAGCTTGATTTGAACTCACTATGTAGCCCAGGCTGACCTTGAACTCATAGCAATCTTCCTGCCTCTGGAGTGCTGGGATTACAGGTGTGCGCCACCATGCCTGGCTTTCTCCTTGCTTCTAGTAGTTATGATACAACAATACCTTCACCAAGCACCCGGTGTTACCCTTGTAGTGTAACATCCCTCTTCTGCAGGAAGCTTTATGTTATATCAAATTAGTTATGCATGAAATAACTTTATAAATTCCAATGTTAGATCAATTTGAATTGCTTAGCTCAGTATTGGATGTAGAAGCTTTAGAAAGGTCCAGGCCATTGACAAGGAGAGGATCTCAGAAGTATCTTGTTTCCTTAGGAAAAGAAATGCTCATAGCCTATGACATTTTGATGAGTATGTGGCCAAACTTGGTAAAGCTACAGTCTTAGTAAGGCATTGTACAGCCAAGCAGATCTTGCTATGGAATTAGTTCTTGGCTTTGAAAATGCAAGAGTTCAAAATAGTTAGGATTTATGTGGTGAATTCTGACAGCAGTTGGTGGATTTTGAGCACCTACCTTGTAGAGGACCCAGAGCAAAGTGTCAGCACCCCAGGGCTGAACAGTGCCAGAGCAAAGCAGAGTGCTTAAAAGTCTTTGGGGGAATGAACCCCACTACAGCTTCCCAGAAAGGGTAGTAACTCCATTTCCCAGAGTAGACACCGAGTATCCAAGAGACTGAATGCTCCCCTACGTCTCAAGCGTAGTGAGCAGTGCTAAACAGCAGTGACGGGTTCCCAGCGTAGAGCCCCTCTTGATAACTGCCACCTTTTACCAAAATGGAGGGCTGGCTTTTCACTGTTGCTACAAATTCTTCCTCAAAAGGCTCTCACTGAAGGACTGGAAAGATGGCACTAAGCCTGGAGTGACGAGGTGACAAGAATCTGGGAAATAGATTGCATGTAGTCCTCTGTTTGGAAGCATCATCAGAGCTGTTCTGGAATATTCTTACTTTCCATTCTGTACAAGAGATAGGAGTACATTCCTGCCCCTGCTGGAATTAGGTATAGCTGTGTGAAATTGGAGTGGATGTCACCCTTGTAGCTCCTTGGCGGAAGTCGCAAGAGTCAAAGTAAGCAGCACCGTGTCTCACTGCATGGCTGAGTGGGGTCCCAAGCACCCATTAGGTAGAACTTCCACTCGTCTCAATGCTAGTTGACACGGTGAGCAGAGCACTTGCCAGCTTGTTTTTCTCCCTGTGGGGAAAAGAAACTCTAAGAGATCTTGGATTATTTGTAACTGCCGCATAATCTAGCTGATTGTGACTGATGAAGTAAATTTAAGAATAATAACACAGAAAGAAGACATTCGATAAGCATTTCCCACAGAGAGAATTATTTTGAAAATAGCTTTCTTAAATGCTTTTTTTAGTAAACTCTTAGTCATTCCAACTAAGTGCGTGGGATGGTTGAATGACCATCCAGTTTTATGACTTTACTCTTTTCCTCTATATTTTAAACAGATCTGTCAAAAAATGGCTGCCATTGTCTTTGTGCTGTGGAAATTTATTTTCTTTTCGTGAAAAGAAGGGAGGGAAATTTGGTGGTTTGGAAATCTGAAACCTCAACAGATAGTGATACCTTTATCCAAGCAGTACTGCAAGAACAATAACACTCTTTTACTCTAAATAAATTTCTACTGTAAGAAGAGTATGTGTTAAATGTAGATCTTTATTACATTGGGATCTTCTTTCTGTCCTGTAGTTCTGGCGAATCCTGGCTTTAGATTATGCTCTGCCTCGAAGTTGCTCTGCGGGTAGTGTTTGAAGAGTCTTTGTTTATTCACGATGGCTTGCTCTTTCTCATGTCTCATTTGAAGGACAATAAACTCAGTTTTTAATGAACAAAGCCTTGGTTTTAGAAACTGAGATGTTTCAACTTGAGGAGGAAATTTTCCTAGATTTACCCTTGAGTTAGACTAAGTGACAGTGGAATTTAATGAGTTTACCAGATTTCAGAAATTTGGTTAGAGTAAAAAAATTGGTCATCTGCTATAAATTTGTACTAACTAGCTTAATTTTAGACCCAGTATTATATTTCACATGTTGCACAATTTTATTATACTGCTACTTAAATATTTTTTGTGACATGAACTTTGTGATAGAAAAACAATGCATTGTCATTTACTCAGGACATAGAAGTCTCCTAACTGAAAGTTAGGAGTTAACTGGTGTTAAAGTTCGGTACTTAAAACTATTGAACTCGATTGTTATTTTTTATCCTAGCTTTACAGTAGGTGAAGGAACTCAAGTCAGATGTTTATAGAATCCCAAAACTCTGTAGGGAACGCCACTTGAAAGCTTCTAATCATGCTTTTTGTGATATTATTTTGATAGAGTAAAAGTCTAGATTCTGATTGTATTTGTGTTAGAAAATCCAATAAGTGGAGGAAATGTAAAAATATCTCATTTATAAAGGTTAGGTTAGTGTGAATAAATTCACATTTAAAAATATGTTGTATTCTGGAAGTTTCAGCAAAAAAAATTTTTAATTCCATTATAGTCAAATTACAAGTAGGTACCAGCCCAGACCACTAATTATTTAACCCATAAGTAACTGAAGTAGAGCTGTTTAGCTATCCTATGATTACATGTACATTTTTCAGTTAGCTTGACATTTTCATGGATCCTCTTGACTATTTTCGTGGGATTGAAAAATCTGACCTGCAATACTGAATTAGAAACTCTCTCTGTCCACTCCCACTGTGAGAGAGCAAAAGAGAATAAAGACTTTATTCCCTGGTTTGGAAAAACTAATCTGTATTTTTCTGTCTCCATGGAAAGGACTGCTTGTCTCCTGTTTGAGGAAGAGTCAAAGGCCCTGTGTAGGACAGGAGCTCTGAAGATGCCCTAATTTAGTTCTATGCCTTTAGGTGCAGAGCTTTGTGAAGCTGTGTAAAGAGAAAACTTTTCTAAAACCAAACACATTTTGTGCACCTTTGGGAAGCTGGGTATTTAAGGGAGCCTTGAGCTTTCACCACATGAATGCTCCGTTCATGTGTCTGGGTAATATAAAAGCTCCTGGTGCTTTAAAAGCCATCAGAACTTTTCCTACGCACTAGTTGCACTGATGAGATCCTCTGTGTAGTGGTTTCCCTTTGGCCCAGAGCTCCAGGTCCCCTGCCTCCCATTTGGGTACCACGCATGCTTCTGGTGGACTCCTCAGATAGGCAGCTGACTTCACTGGAAATTCCACAAAGTATTTACCTGCTGTGGTACTGGAATGAAATTGAGGGCTGCAGATGTAGCTCGGTGGTAGAGCACCTGCTTAGCATGCACAAAGCCCTGGGTTCCATCCCCAGCAAAACGTGCAGAGAGAGAGAAAGAAAGAGAATTAGTAAATAAAATGAGAGGATTATTGTCAGTGTCACTTTCACCTGATGATCCTGGTAGATATGTATAGCATGGGAATTGCTTGGGCTTTTGTTTGTTTTGTTTTGTTTTGGTGGAATAGCCAGGAACTAACCCTGCTTTCTCTTTTTTAATGTGGAAATGTGGAATAACATCATCAGTTATTTCATGTCATAAATTACAGTGCAGTAAGTAAAGCCCTGGGTTAAAAGTCTTGAGTCTACTTCTTACTTGTGTAACATCGCAAAGCAAATAATTTAATTACCTTAGCCTTCAGTTTCCTAGAAGGACAGTTACTGATAATATCTACCTCATGGGGTTGTGAGGCTGAAGATGACCCATTAGTGTATTGATGTGGTATGTTGATACTCTAGTTGTTTTGTCATTACTTCGTTATTATTATTTTGTAATCTTAGGAAAATATTCCTGGAAAGGATAAAGAAAAAGCATAAACCAATGGGGCTTCTAATCCCCTCCTGCTTCCTGTCTCCGCTGCAGACTGTGATAAGCTGAGGCGTGATGGCTACCGGAGCTCTCAGTACTACTCTCAGGGACCCACCTTCGCGGCCCACCCCGGCCCGCTCTGTGACGAGTGTCAACATGAGGATGCAGACACGGATCAAAAGGTGAGGCTGGGCAGGACCTCAGAACAAGAAAGGATGTGTCTGGAAAACTGGTGAAAGCAGACTTCCATATTTTAGTTAGTGGAATACCATCACCAGGGGTTTCTTGATTTTGACATAAAGTACCACGATTATGTAAGATTTTAGTGTAAGGAGTAAGAAGGTGAAGGGAGCACGAGGGACTCTTAATATTATCATTACAGCTTCTCTGTAAATATAAAATTGTTCTAGTATAAAAGAAGTAATGCCTGGATCCAAGAAATTCCTTGGGTTGGTATAAATTCAGTATATTTGTGCATTTTGAATATTCTCTTTTGGTTAGGAGAAATGAAGGTCTCTGTTGCTTTGTATTTCACATGACCAAGAGCACAGTTGTGTTACAAAGAGCTCTGCTAATTAGCTTTCACCAGTAATTAGGAGATGCGTGAGGCAGATGGTTCCAGGGTATATCTCTGGTGGGGTCTCTGGCCTGTGTCACTTCAAGGTGGATGTAGTGACAGAGCAAGTGTGTGGGTGAGCAGTCTCATCTCAAAACAGGAAGCAAGAGAGAGGCCATGTGAGGCCAGGCACAGTGCTATCCGAGAATTAACCAGGATCCACAAGAAATACCTTACTTCCTTTCAAAGGCAAGCAGTCCATGGCCCTACTGACCTATCACCATGCCCCGCCTCCCACCATGCCCCGCCTCCCACCATGCCCCACCTCCCACTATGCCCCACCACCCACCATGCCTCACCTAACATGCCTCACTTCCCACAGTGCCCCACCTCCCATCATGCCTTACCTTCCAACATCCCCCACTTATTAAAGATTCCACTTCCAGCATTGCCGCACTGAGGTTCAAGCCTCCAACACAGGGCCCCTAGGAGAGGAAACCACATTCCAACCCTAACACCCTCTAGAGACCAGTGTTTCACAAGCGGTCAGGGTATCTAGTGTAGATCGATCCTAAGTGGTGCTTTTACCTAATATTATTGCCCTGACTAGTTAGTGTGCTGTACTGCATTTGAGTTCTTTTTCTCATACCACCCCTTATGATATGCACAAACTATTAAGAGAAGTATAGTTTTTTCAGTGCTAAATGCACGTGAAAGAATAAAAATGTATGCAGATTTTTATCTATATAGTTTTATTTTATCAGGTAAAGTGGACTGATAATGGAATTACTTGATATAAGATTTGATAAGTAGAATTTGGCTTAGAAATCATTTTTAGTCTAAAAACTTTCAGTAGCATTAGGTCAATACATAAATACTCTGTTAGCTGGAAAAGACTATTTCAAAATTCATTCTTTTCATTAAATAGACAACTTCAGAGAACAAAGTAAGATAATAGTTGATCAAAAAATGGGAAATGGTTACCATTCTTGGTCTTCAAATGAATATTGGACTCAGGTTGTTCTTTTAGATTTATATTTTTGAATTAGTAATATTCTTAATTAACAAATCATAATTGTGCACATTTATGTAGTATAGTGCCTCATATATATAATATAAATGATTAAGTCAAGTGAATTAATGTATTCATCTCTCTTACCTATCATTTTTTATCATAAGGCATTTGAAATTTACTATTTTAATTATTTTGAAATATATAATATGGGATAGGGTATAGCTCAGATGTAGAGTGCTTGCCTTGTACATGCAAGGCCTAATTTCCATTCCTGGGACTGAAAAAAAGAAAAGAAAAGAAATATACAATACATTATTATCAACTATAGTCATATTGCTGTGCAGTAGATCTCAACAAGTACTCCTTCTGACTATCTGAAACTTTGTACCCTTTGGCCAACAACTTCCGATTCCCTCCTTCCCATCCAGATTTTATCATTCAGTGCTTTTCCTATCTCTTTAAAGATATTTTCACATATTAGTCCTTTTGCTAAAATATATGAAAATAGTCCTTACTATAACAGGCCAAGGAGCCATCTCAGAATTGTTCTGCTGTATAATTTCAATAATTCCTTTTCTTTTGTTGGCATGAGTAATGAAAGTGAAAGTGAGAAGATTAATTGTATAGTGAGATTTTTGTTTATCCAGCTATTTTTGCTTATTGGCTTCACACTGCCTCTCAGATGTGGAAGGATTGTTTGTGGGGGCCCAGCGGGCCAGAAATGGTGTCTGGGTACAGCATGTTGCACATGTTGTGAGTGTCTAAAAGTGTAGATTCCCGTGGTGGCAAATTGGCATCGTCATGGTAACACCATCAGAACTTCTGAAAAATGGAAAGTCTCTTTCTGTTATGTTCTTGCCCTGAAAAATGGAAAGTCTCTTTCTGTTATGTTCTTGCCCTGAAAAATGGAAAGTCTCTGACTTAGTTACTTTCTTGTCACTGAGACATGGTACCTGACACCAGCAAATTAAGAGGAGAGGTTTATTCTGTCTCACAGTTTGTAGAGGTTTCAGTCCATACTCTACTGGCTTGAAGGCAGGATGGTATGGCCGAGAAGCCTGGCAGAAGGAGACAGCTCCTGGCAGGGAAGCCTGGCAGGGGAGCAGGAAGCAGAGAGGGATCAAGGGAGGAGGAGGGAGCTAGACCCTTCCATGCCATACCCCCAGTGACCCACCTCCTCAGGTGGGTCACACCCCTGTAATTCAGTCACCTCTCCCAAAGCCCTGCCTATGAGTGCATGAGGCTTTGGGGGGACATCTAGGGATAAACCATAGTAGTCGCCAAATGATCCCATAGCCACATTCTCACCACAGTGCTGACTGTGAGGGAAGTGAGGCCTCTTTGGGTTCCTTTCTACTCCTGTGCAGCATTGCCATGGACCTCTTCCTCCAGGCAGCCCTCCTCTCAAGTATGGACAATTTATCACCCATGAGAAACCAAGCCTCCTGTCTCATTCACAGTAAATCAGGAGATAACAGTCGGATGGGAAGGCATAATATGTGTCATCCTTTATGTGACAGGATGTGCTGTGGCCTTGTCTCTATAATAAGCACCTGGTATCACTAGGTCAAGAACCAGAGGGTGGGTGGGACGGCAGCAGATTTCCTGGGGCCCACAGGTTGCTTCCTGTGTCAAGGGGAGTCAGAGGGGCGGGGCAGCCTCCCTGTTGTGCGTGGGGGTCCCTGTCATCTGGCTTCCCACAGGCACTGCTGAGCCCAGGCTCTCCAGCCTTTCCCAGAGCTGAGCTCCCCTGCGGCACGCAGCCACCTTCAGATCTTGGCTTCCTTTGCCGCTCTACGTGATTCCATTTTAAAAATCCATATAAACACTTGTGCTTGGTGGAAAGCATTGAAATCCTTGGCAGACACTGTTAGTGTTCTGGAAGCACAACTTTTATTTGTTCTTTTTTTAAATATAGAGAACCAAATTGGAGTACAATAAAAAACTTCAAATGAGTAAGTCTGAATGTCATCTCAAGGCAGTTGCTGCTGAGAAATTTGCTTCAGAATAAAATGAATATCAACTTAGATTACTGATGCATAATGTTAATTAGGGATTATTATATATTAAATATCAACTAACAAATTATGCCATTGTGGTGGACTTCCTTCCCTCCCTTCTTTCCTTGCCCACCACTCTTCCCTGTTGGGTTCCATAACTCAGTGCCATATTAACTTCTGCAGTTTCTTGACTCCTTGAAATATTCCATCTGAACACCCACTTGCCCTCCTAGTCTTACACATCCAGTTTGATTCTCTTATAACACAATATCCATCTTTTTGTTTATTTATCATTACTGGATTAATTCCAATGTCTGTGCCAGAAAATATGCATTTTCTTTTTAATTATATAGAGTTGATGTCTTAGTTACTTTTCTCGTTGTTGAGACAAAATACCCAACACTCAAAGTTAAAGGAGGAAAGATTTATTTAGGACACAGTTTGTACAGGTTCTAGTCCGTAGTCTGATGGCTCTAAGGCAGGGTGGCACAAGGCAGGGTGGTGGCATTTGGCAGAGGGGGGCAACCTTTCATGGCTGCAGAAGACAGCAAAAGCAACCAGAGTGTGAGACCTGACTCTTTTGTCCCTTATATTGTATGTAGGCTACCTGCCCTAGGGCTGGTATAGCACTCACACACTTAACCCCAGAATTAGACCATGAATCTGAAACTCTAGATTCAGCCACCTCTGAAAAGCCTGCCCCCATGACTGCATGAAACTTTGGGGAGACATCTAGACACACACCATAACAGTTAAGGAGGTTGAGGACTGCTCTTAGTCACAAAGATACTGACTGGGCCCAGGGATTCAGCATGAAAGCCCCCAGGCTTCCCTGCCACTTGCTACAGGGCTCTCTACTTCACTGCTGTCCAGCACCTTACTTTAACCTGTCTAACTTTAACCTTTGTTCAAGTGAGAGACTTGGTCTTGCGTCTCCACATTGTACTTAGTAGATGACTGGCTGCTTGGTTGCTCATCCATTCAATAGTCCTTTGTGAATTACTGCCAAGTCCGTATCTGCCCTGGGTCAGAACCGGCCCTCAACCCCTGTCCTTAGGTCACGTGATGCACTCGTCCCTCCAAGCTTCGCAGCCATCAGTGGTGGTTATGTGGGACCCTGTCCTGGCCTCTCCTCAGCATGCTCTGTAAGAGTTCCTATGAGCACAGAACTAGAATTCACTTGTAAAACAAGAGTGGATTGAGCACGCTGTGTGCCAGCACCACTTTAGCTGTTGGGAACCCAACAATGAAACAGCAGAAGTCCTGCCCTCTGAAGCTTGGATTCATGGAGCGGCACCGAGCTTGTAGAAGTGACTTTGCTATGCTGGGCAGTGGCATGAGTGCTGCAGGGAGATAAATGAGATGGAGTGGAGGCCGCAACTCTAAGTGAAGTGATTAGGCCTTACTCAGCAGAAAGGTGCTTGACCTGAAAGGAGTGAGCCATGCTCTGCTGAAATCTCAGAGGGGAGCAGCAACACAGTCAAGTCTATGTGTCTGATACTGCAAAATGCAAAGATTAATAAGGTATTTGTACTTAAGGAACTTACCGTGTTCAGGATAGAGAGAACCAAGTAGAATGAAGTTTCACATATAACCTGCTGCCAGGGTGTT